GGGGTTTGAAAGCAAATAGTGGAGTGAGTATGAGAAGAGGAGAAACACCGCCACCGCCACCGCCACCACTTTTTATGGGCTGCTTTTCATGATTCTCTTTTGTAATCCTCAAAACAACGCTGGAAGGGAGGTCACGTCTCCCCTGTCCGCGATCAGTTTCTGACGGACTGTACTTTCTCGTGTTACTTCATTCACGTTGTTTTGCGTATGTCTTACCCTTCATCACCCTGACATAGGCTTCGTTTTTTTTTGTTTTTTCCTTAGCGAGGGTCCCAAGTTCAGGTACGCGGCAGGCAGAGGAAAAGAGCCGACTGTCGTCACCCAGGGACACGGAACAAAGCCTCGTGTATGCACGTGCGCAACTGGCCGAGAGTTTGGTATGTTTTTTATACATGCAGAGAACATACTTACTTCTTCATTAACAGTAATTAATGATTAATTTACATCAAAATGGAAGTTTCTTTAAAATAACAGGTAAAAGGCGCCTGGGTGGCTCAGTGGGTTAAGCCTGTGCCTTGGGCTCAGGTCATGATCCCAGGGTCCTGGGATCGAGCCCCACATTGGCTCTCTGCTCAGCAGGGAGTCTGCTTCCCCCTCTCTCTCTGCCTGCCTCTCTGCCTACTTGTGATCTCTCTCTGTCAAATAAATAAATAAAATCTTTTTTAAAAATTACAGGTGAAGAAAACTAACCTAGGTTACTTTTTGGCTTCATTTTTTATCAGCATGTCACAAACATAATGCTCTCCAGAGCTCCTGATTGGAATGTTCCTTTATCTCTCATCCGGAATCTTAGCGGGAGGTCAGAACCTCACAAGGGCTGGGTATGGCCCTAGGGCTTTGGAGTAGATTTATGGTATCAAAATAATTTTTCTTTCCATTGCTATGCTTTCTTCCCATATGAGACAAGAGGGCACGGAGGAAAAGACACTGCCTTACATTTTTAAAAATCCCTGATCAGCCCCGAAGACTCTGTATGCCCTAGCTTCTCTGCGGTCGATGCTTCTTTTGGCTTTTCCAAAGCTGCTCATACTACCTAGGGCACGGAATAAGCAGTTCTAATCAAAAGACTCTAAAATACAGCACAGCTCTAAAAAGAAAGTTTCTTTTTCCCCTGCGCTATAGACTAAAGGGAAACACTGAGGCCAGCCAAGGGCTCTCCCAGGAGGTCAGTCAAGGAAGTCTGTCTCTCCATCTTGTTGCCCCACCATGCCCTGGGATTACATTCTCATGCCCAGGGGCCAAAGCTGGGTTGATCCACATCTGAGTTTCAGCTGCAGTGGAGAATAGAGGAAGTCTTACTAAGTGGCCGTGTCCTCAAGGACGTGATCTGGACAGTGCATATGTTAGCTCATTTCTCAGTGGCCTGAATTTAGTCACAAGGGCACGCCTGGTAGCAAGGGAACCCGAGAACTGTGGTTTACAACCTAGTGGCCATGCTTCTAGCTAGAGTTCAAGGAGTCCTATTACCGAACCAGCGGAGAAGAGATACTGGAGACAGCGATCCCAGAGTGGCGATGCAGTAGGAGAGCAGAACCTACCCCCGCCAGTACCCCGAAATATCTCCTTCATAACATGTATCATAGCCTCTATTATTATTCATTTACCTGTTTATAGTGTGTAAGCTCCTGGGCTGGGGACACTGTGCACCGCTGTATCCAGAGCTCCTCACTGGTGGCTATGAACACAGGAACACCTGTTAGTGGTCAGGGTCGATTTCTGGGAAAGAGGAAAACTATCTAATGGCTCTCCTACAGCTCCTTGCACATTGTAGGGATCCAGTAAATTTTTGTTAAATGAATAGACCTAGCTACAAATCCAGTAGAGAGACAAGACAAATCCAATCAGAGAGACAAGGAGTGCCATTTGAAAAGCCTTTACATAAATATTTTGTTTTTAGAATTCAATAATGTAGGTAAAATATACAGATAAGTATAAAGGAAAGTCTTACCAATGAAAGAAAATCATGGTTAACACCTTGGTAACACTCGTACACAATTTTTTCCTACATGTGCGTACATGCACAGTTTTTAATACTGGTGTCATACTATATACCGACATGCCATATTTTTCACTTTACTGCACTTCTCAGACATTACATTTTCTACAAACAGAAGGTTTGTGGCAACCCAGCCCTGAGCACGTCTACAGGCACCATTTTTTCCAATAGCACTTTTTCCCTCTTCGTGTCCTTGTCACATCTTGGTAACTCTTGGGATATTTCAAGCTTTTCCATTAAATATAACAAATATGTGTCACAGTGGTCTGTGGTCAGTGATCTTCAATGTTACTATTGTCATTCTCTTGGGGCACCACAAACCGTGTCATATAATAATGAACTTAATTGCTGAGAGTTGCGTGTATCCTGACAGTTCCACTGACCGGCCGTTCCCCCATCTCTCTCCTTCTCCTTAGACCTCCCTACTCCCTGAGGAGCAACGATATTGAAATTAGGCCAATCAATAACCTATCATGGCTTCTAAGTCTTAACTGAAAAAAGAGTTGCACAGTTCTCACTTTAAATCAAAAGCTTGAAATGAATTGTCTTCATAAGGAAGTCACGCCAAAAGCTGACAGAGGCGGAAAGCGAGGCCTCTTGCACCGATTCGCCAAGTGAGTACAGAGGGAAAGTTCTGGAAGGAAATGAAAAGTGCTACTCCTGTGAACACATGAATGAGAAAGTGACACGGAAAAAGTTTTAACGGCCTGGATAGAGGATCGATCCATCTGCAACAGTCCCTTAGACCAAAGCCTAACCCAGAGCAAGACCCTCACCCCCTCCAAGTCTCCGAAGGCTGAGAGAGGCGAGGAGTGGGAAGCCACAGCGGTGGGTTCCCGGGGCTGCAGGAAAGAAGCTGGAACATCTCCGGAACATCCCCGGACCCGCTGAAGCAGCCCATGCTGGCGGAGAAGCTGCCACGAGTTCTCCAGAAGATCCAGCTAAGGGAACCGAGGAAGGTGTTACACTAAGTGAGAGATTTTACGTGTAAATGCAACAGCCTCACAGTGCAGGAAGATGCCTTCTAGGACTTGCACAGCTAGAGAGAAGTCAGTGCCTGCCTTCAGAAGACAAGGGACAGGCTGACTCTCTTGCTGGGGGCGAATGCAGCTGGTGACTTTAAGTGGCAGCTGATGCTCCCTGATCATTCCGAAACTCCCACGGCCCTTGCCAAGTCATGCCAAGTCTACTCTGTGTTCTATAATGGACCACGAGAGCCTGCGTGAGGGCACATCTGTTTACAACGTAACCAACTGAGTAGTTTAAACCCACTGTTGAGACCTACAGCTCAGAAAAAGAGATTCCTTTCCAAATAATCCCGCTCGTTGACATTGTACCTGCTCACCCGAGAGCTTGGACAGAGCTGTACCGTGCGATTATTGTTGTTTTCAGGCCTGTCAACACAACACCCATTCTGGGGCCTGTGGATCAAGGAGTAATTCTGATTTTCACATCTTATTATTTAAGAAATACATTTCCTAAGGGTATAGCTACCATAGACAGTGATTCCTGTGTCAGATGTGGGCAAAGTAAACCAAAAACCTTCAGGAAAGGCACCATTTTAGATGCCACTAAGTACATTCACGATTGGCGGGCAGGGGTCAAGATATCAATATTAACAGGAGTTTAGAAGAAGTTGATTCCAACCCTCAGGAATGACTTTGAGGGGTTCGAGACTTGAGTTGAGGGAGTAACTGCCGATGTGGTGGAAATACCAAGAGAACTAGAATCAGAAGTGGAGCCTAAAGATGGGGCTGAGTTGCTGGCAATCTCGTGATCACATGGGAATAGATGAGAAGGTGCTTCTTATGGGTGAGCAACGAAACTCATTTCTTGAGATGGAATCTACTCCTGGTGAAGATGCTTTAAGAAGGTTGAAATGAGAACGAAAGATTTAGAATACTCCATAAACTTGGTTGATAAAGCAGCAGTAGGGTCGAGAGGAATATCTCCGATTTGGAAGAAAGTTCTACTGCGGGTAAAACATGCTCAAACAGCATCACGGGCTACAGAGAAATTGTTCATGAAAGGAAGAGTCAATCAATATATCAAACTTCACTGTTGTCTCATTTTAAGAAATTTCCACTGTTACCCCAAGCTTCAGCAACCACCACCTTGATCAGTCAGTAGCACCAACCTCAAGGCAAGAACTTCCAACAGCAAAAAAGACTGTAGGCTCCCTGATGGGATGGGATGGTTAACATTTTCTAGCAATAAGATTTATTTATTTGAGAGAGAGCATGAGCACAAACTGGGGTGGGGGTGGGGCAGAGAGAGAGGTACAGAGTGCAGAATGCAGAGCCCAGGCAGGGCTGGGTCCCACGTCTGTCCCTCAGATCATGACCTGAGCCAAAATCAGGAGTCAGATGCTTAACTGACTGAGCCACCCAGGTGCCCTGCAATAAAGTATTTTTTAACTAAAGTATATACCTGGTTTTTTATGACATAATGCGATTGAACTCTTAAAAGACTACAGTATAGCATAAACATAACTTGTGTATACACTGGGCACTGGGAAACCAGATAATTCATTTGACTTGTTTTATTGCAATAGTTGCTTTATTGAGGTGACCTGGAGCCCAACTCACAATATCTCCAAGGTATGCCTACATGCAGCTTATTTATTTTTAGTTATGAGATGTATTTAATTTTTTCATTTAAGTGTAGTTAACATACGGCATTACATTAGTTTCAGATGTATGATATAACGATTCAACAATGCTACACATCTCTTAGTGCTCATCAAACGTAAGTGTGCTATCCGTCCCTTCATCTACGTTTTCCATCCTCCTACTCATAACCCCTCTGCCAATCACTGATTTGTTCTCTGCATTTGAGTCTAGTTTTTTGTTTTGTTTTGCCTCTGCTCACAATCTGCTTAAATAGAAAACTTCCCAAGTATATTCACAAGAAATAATGTTTCTTTTTTTCTTTTTCTTTCTCTTTCTTCCTTTTTTTTTTTTTTTAGAAATAATGCTCCTTTTATTTTATTTTATTTTTTTAACATTAGATGGGGATTGTGCCCAGGTTTGAGCAAGGTTTGAGGGGGTCACATGTCACACAACGCCCTGGACAGCCAATCATAATGCTTATGAACTACAAAAGGTCTCAAAACACTGCCCAAAGTATGAGGATGAACACAGATAAATCAAATTGCGTGCTATAGTTACATTTCAGGTGGTGATTAGAGAGAGCACAGAGTAAGTCTTGCATGGACACATCTATTAGCTGGCAGACCCATATCCCATGCTGGGGGCTCTTTGCAGAGTAGGGAAAAAAAGAATTCTCTAGAAAAGTTTGTCAACCCTGAGATGCATATTTTTATTAGGATCTAATCCTTCCTTTCCACAGAAGGGCATTGCTTGCTTTTCTTTTTCATCTTTCCTAGCCAGAGATGGGAAATTTCACTGGAAGAAAACTATCCAGATTTATTTTTACTTTTACCACCGACAAGCATATAATGCAAACTCCCATGCTGGACAGGACAGCTATGGTTATCCTGCCAGAATACCATGTGTGCTGTCTTCCTGGGAGGTGAGGGGAAACAACTAGGTTTGGAAGTCTGGTGTACGCATGTATATGAATATACAGATGACATTTCTAGATCCAGAGGTACCCATCCACCCGTAAGAATATAGAGCTGGCATCAAGTCACTAAGCATAAAAAATGCTGTGGGTGTCTACAACTTTTTTTAAAAAGGCATTATCTGCATTTAAAATATGTTTTCTAATTTCCAAAATAGTCTGTGTAAGAAGTTGGGAAATTTGGGTGAAAAGATGCGAGTGGGGGAAGGAAAGTAATGGAAAAAATTGGAAACATATGCATAAACGCATCACAGTCTTTTGTGTTTCCAGCCTTTTACACATGTGAAAGCAGGAGTTTCCAGGTCTGACTTAGCCCAGCAACCAGTATGAGTGTGGCCAAGTCACTTCCCCTCCTTGAGCCTTTGTTTCTCTATCACCAAAATCAAACAGGAGAGGAAAAGAAGCCAGAAGCTGCCATCAGTATAGGATGTAGCCCCGCCCAGCAGCACAGAGTCCCATCCAGCCGGCATGTTATGGCAGTTACTGTGAGTACATTAGTTGTGTTATTTGGCACAGACTAATTCTATGGGTTATTGCTATTTTTTCTTCTGCCTGTGTGTTTGTTTGAAGGATGGTGGTAGGTAGTTTTTCTAAATGGTGTTTTACCTGCTTAAAATTTCTTGTGTGATCTCTACCAACATGACGGATACCTCAGGAGCTCTCAGTTATACCTGAAAGCCTCTGATGCAGGTGGAAGTTTTAGTTGAGTCAAAAGCCTCCTCAAGATTTGGAGAAAGGGGAGCCTCTTACGCTGTGGGAACGCAAGCTGGGGCAGCCACTCCAGAAAACAGCATGGAGGTTCCTCAAAAAGTTGAAAATAGAGCTACCCTACAACCCAGCAATCGCACTACTGGGTATTTACCCTAAAGATACAAATGTAGTGATCCGAAGGGGCACGTGCACCCAAATGTTTATAGCAGCAATGTCCACAATAGCCAAACTATGGAAAGAACCTAGACGTCCATCAGCAGATGAATGGATAAAGAAGATGTGGTGTATATACACAATGGAATACTATGCAGCCATCAAAAACCCCCAAATCTTGCTATTTGCAATGATGCGGATAGAACCAGAGCTATTATGCTAAGTGAAATAAGTGAGTCAGAGAAAGACAATAATCATATGATCTCCCTGATATGAGGAATCTGAGAAACAAGACAGAGGATCACAGGGGGAAGGAGCAATAAATGAAACAAGATGAAACCAGAGAGGGAGATAAACCATAAGAGACTCTTAATCTCAGGAAACAAACCGAGGGCTGCTGGAGGGGAGGGCAGTGGGAGGGATGGGGTGTCTGGGTGGTGGACACTGGGGAGGGCATGTGCTATGGTGAGTGCTGTGAATGTGTAAGCCTGACGATTCACAGACCTGTACCCCTGAAACAATGCATTATATGTTCATTTAAAAAGAAAGGAAAAAAAGAAAAAAACTCCTCAAGTGTGTTTCCGAGGGATGGTCACTGTTCACAAAAGGAGGGTGGTTGGGGACTTGCCTCAAGAGGACTATAGTGACGAATGCAGTCACTCGGATGTGCGGCGGGTGAGGCAGGGCCCGGCCCAGACGAGGGAATGGCCGCGTGCGGGGCAGTGCTCATGGGTGCAGAGGCGCTCGCCGTGAGTGACTGGTGGTGAGTGAACATTAAATCAGGCCGAGGTCCTCGAAATCTTCTGAACACTAGATCTCGCTACTACCCACACAACAGCTCTAGAGAAAGGAGACAACACGTTGCCTGCAAACGTCCTGCTGTCTTGGACCAGGGCTTGGAAGACAAGAGGGCAAAGCCGACAGCTAACGGGAAGGCAAACGCAGAGAACGCCCGCACCTCGGTGGCTGTTGCAGCAAGTCACAGCACAGTCACAACCTTTCATGCAGAAGCAAGGTGGCACAGAGCTGACCCGTGTAGGGGTCCGGAGCGGCAGGCTTGGGCGCAGGCTCCGGCTCAAATCCGAGCATGAAATCAACAATCCTCTGCCTGTTCATCACAAGGCTTCCTGGAGCGATTTTGCTGGGGGAGTCGCGACGGAGAGAATAAAAAGTCTTTCCGAGCCGGCCTCACATCTGGTTTGAAAGTAGAGTTTCTTCACTGGAACTGCTGATCGGCAAGGTCACCAGTTTGTGTGGGTCTCAATGGGCTCTTAAGAGTCCGGCTGTGCTCTGCTTGTGTGCCAGGATCGTGCACACGCACACACGCGCACACGCACACACCGCCCCGTTACATCTCCAGGCCATGGTGTCTCAGTCTCTGAACTATTATTTGGGTCAGTAAATTCCTCATTCTGGGGCTGTCCTGCTCATTGTAGGATGTTTGATGGCTTCCCTGGCCTCACCTACCAGAAGCCGGTACCATATCTCCGCTCCCCTCACCTATCCAGCCCCCAGCTTCCCGTGATAGCCCAGATGTTGCCATATGTCTCCCGGTGGACAAAATCTCCCTTGGCTGAAAATCACTGCTTCCAGCTGAGATAGGGAGATTAATTGCGAGGACAGAGCGTGAGGAACATGAGGCTTTTCTAGGATGCAGAGATTTATTCTCAAGGTTATTTCTATTTATGGAAATTACTCAAGCTTGCAAGTGTTTTTAGGAAGCTAATTTCTTTCCAAGCAAGCCAAATACTACAAATATCCTTTTTGGCTGTAACTTACAACTGCTTTTCTACAGAATGTCCTAATGGAGTCAAGCATTTGCCTTGAAAAAAGCTATCGGTTCATTCATTGTTTTCCTGACCTGTGGCATTGCCGGCCTTCCACCTGGGATAGCATCAGGGATGTTTGCTTTTTTCCCCCAAAACTTTGCAAACTATTTTGATACACTATTGAAAATACATGTTAGCAAAATAACTTTTTTTTTTTAGCAGCAATTCTTAAAGAACACATATTGTCTATACTTGCTAGGAGAACAACTATTTTTTTTTTAAAGATTGTATTTATTTATTTGACAGACAGAGATCACAAGTAGGCAGAGAGGCAGGCAGAGGGAGAGGGGGAAGCAGGCTCCCCGCCGAGCAGAGAGCCCGATGCGGGGCTTGATCCCAGGACCCTGAGATCATGACCTGAGCTGAAGGCAGAGGCTTACCCCACTGAGCCACCCAGGCACCCCACAGACAAACCATTTTTAATCTGAATGTAACTGAGGCACAGTTACCTGATCCATTTTACCACGTTGCTACACGGAGCATAAAATGTTTTGCTGGCTGCACAGTATGCAGTTTGCCTACAGCACTGAGCTCACCAGGTAACCTTATGACCTGAACCTCCTATCAGAAGAGCAACTAGGAATTGATATACCTTAATTTGAACTTAAGGATATGCCTTTATTCAGTGTTTACATCTTTTTTTTTTAAGATTTATTTATTTGAGAGAGAGAGGGAGAGAGAGAGAGGGCCAGTGGGGACTGGGGGTGGGGAAGGGCGGAGGGAGAGAGAATCAAGCAGACCCTGAGGTCGTGACCTGAGCCCAAATCACAAGTCGGATGGTCAACAGCCTGAGCCGGCCAGTTGCCCCTTCAGTGCTCACAGCTTACCTTGACTTGTATTTTTACTCCCAAAGAGAAGGTAAACAGAGCAAATGGTGAGGATTTTTTTGTGTTTGTTTTTTGGTGGTGGCACTCCAGGACTTTCTTTCCACAATTGATTTCAGCTTCATTTATCGAACACTGAGTGGGAGCGAGGAGTTATGCCAGTTCTTAGCAGGTTTTATTTTTGCAGTAAAATCAGATGTATTTCTTTTAAAATTGTGCTCTAATACATCTTTTCTCTATCATTTTGATGTCAGTGAAGATTAACTACCACAAAAGTTAATGTTTTCTCTATCTATAAATCCAAGACTGAAATCAAAGAATGCGAGAGGGAGAATGTACAAAAGGTAGGTGAGGTTTTTAAAAAGCCAAACATATAATCTTACAAGATTAAAATAGGTGGTGAGAATTCTGTTTGTCACTTTACTATTTGGCATCAAGTGGGCAAAAAACAGACACTCTCAGACTAAGCTTTTATTTTCATCTGGATGGACGGCAGGCCCAGAGCATCACGGATTAAATTCTTGAAATGTCTGTAATTTGAAATGAGTTCTGAGAAAAATACATACTTTCTGGCCTGTAAACTGACCACCATATTTTTCCATATTTGCTACTGATTTATTATAATGCGTTAATAGGGCCAGCATAAATATTACTGCATTTAAGGACTTTGATTCCTACTTGCTTTTAGATTCTGTATCTTTTAAGTTAGGTGCTGGGTCTCTAATTTGGTGTTGACTTGCTTCACTGCGTGGGAGTTATGTAAAATTATCCAACCGATATAAGCCAGGCGTTCACAGCTCTCTATGCATCAGGGACTGTGCTGGAAGCTTTCCAAGAGTAGGTGTCTATGACCTACATAGCAAGCATGACAAAGATGGCACATGGCCCTGTTCTCAGTGTCCCTTAGGCAAGCTGTCTCCTCAAACTCCCTGACCTCCTCGAAGGTTCCCGGCCTCCCTAATCCCAGTCGCTCTCCCAGTCACTTGTGAGAACCATCTTTGGCAAC